TATCTGTTAGGTCAGATTTATAGCAGAGATAACACAAAACTCTTAGCACAATCCCAACCTTGCAGCTGGGATTTGTAGATTTGCAAATCGATTTCAATAAGAAAGGGAAACACTGCATGACACAAATGGAGAAAAGGAGATACAATGACAAAAAAAGAAGAAATTAAAGGATCAAACAAGCAACACAGAACTGAGCATACAGCTTGGCTTGATCTGGAAAAAATAAACATCCACTCACAAAATGTACTGAATCATTTTAAAAATCTTGTTTTTTTTAATATATATATATATATATATGTATGTATATACACATATATATGTACTTCAGTACAATTATTCAACTCTCCGATATACTTTATATATACACTACTGGGATATCCTAAATAGAAATAAATCCTAAATTGCAGAGATAAATGACACTATTCTCTGTAGTTTAGAACAATTTAGACAGAAAGAGAGGGCTGACTGACAAGATCTATAATTTTGCTACTGGAGGCCTCAGAGCAATTAACATGGGGACACTAGATCAAAAAAATAAACCAAAAGTACAGATGAGTGTGAGAGGAGGGAAGGACGGAGAACATCAGCTGAAAACTGGAAGTTTACTGGGTCCAGGTCCCTGAAACCAAATTGGACTGCAAGAGGTGGGTTTTGGACCGGCCGGTCGGATGTTGCGTCAGTTGAGACAAAAGGAGGATGTGAATCCGCTGGTGTCTGGATATTCTGATCTAAAAGAGAAGACAGAAAGACAGTCATCACTTACATTGTCTGCTTTTTTAAATTGCCTAATAAACAATTAATTTCCTTTATTGCAGAGGTGGGACCTAGTCATTGTTTTGCAAGTCTCAAGTAAGTCTCAAGTCTTTATCCTCAAGTCACAAGTCAAGTCTCAAGTAATGTCAGGCAAGTCAGAGTCAAGTCTCAAGTCACTGGTGTAAAAGTCCGAGTAAAGTCACAAGTCTGAAACTTTGAATTTCAAGTCCTTTCGAGTCTTTAAAAAAAAGAAAAAAAAAAGAATGTTGCAGTTATGCTAAATGTAAATATTAGACCATGTGATTTTTAAATCTGTGTTTTTCTCAACACATGACGAAATAGTGAACTTAGAAAATATACACAAATTGTGAAATTGCACCTCTTTAAAATGCAGCTCAATTAAACTTAGCTCCAAGAATAATTTTCAACGACAATTCTGAGATAAACTGCATGTTATTCTTGGACGCGCTTGTAGGACCGGCTTTAAAATAGCATGACAAAAATATCATACACATTAAAGTTATTTGACATCACAAAGTTAGATGAAGTCAGCTATCTCATCGTAGCAAAAGAGAAGCACCACCTACCGTTCTTTATGCAACTTCAACTTTCGGACAAAGTTGGAAGTTGTTCCATCTCTGTCTGTGATTCTGTGATTCTCTTCTTGCATGTTTTGCATATTGCATTTCGGTTTTTTGTTGACTACTTCACAATTTATGTACCTGGAAAAAATAACTCCTTGCAGCATTTTTGAGCGTTTTTTTTTCCTTCTTAAAAAAAAATCTGGTTAATTTGATTGGCTGTGCTACGGCTCACGCACACATACGTACGGAGTGTGGTTTGAATAAATGAATGAATGAACTGAATTAATGGCGCACACTTTCTACATAATATGCGTGTTAAATTTTAGATTTGGGGTGAAATATCAAGCCTTTTCAAGTAAACCGGTTCAAGTCCAATTCAAGTCCCAGGTCATTGGTGTAAAAGTCCAAGTCAAGTCACAAGTCTTAGAACATTTTTTCAAGTCAAGTCTAAAGTCATAAAAGTATGACTCGAGTCTGACTCGAGTCCAAGTCATGTGACTCGAGTCCATACCTCTGCTTTATTGTTTATTGCATGCTAATTAAATTGCATGCAGTTAGTGGCATGCTAAAAGCATACTATTTAGTTAGCATGTAACTAAATATATATGTAAATTTAGTTGGATGCTTTTCTCAAATGTACTCAGATTTCAAGCCTGCCTGCTCTTGTGAACCTCATTTCCGGCAACAACATGCATGTGAACTAGCCGATAATCACAGTGAAGAATTTAGCAACAAAAAAGCCTGTTAAATGTGTTAATTGGCAACTTATTAAGGTCACATTCTGCTGTTTTAGATTCAATAATCCAACATTTGTGACCCCTAATAACCATATAACTTCATTCACTGGCTGCAATTTCTTGTTACTTATACACTGTAACTGATATCTGAGATCATTTAAAGGGCTCTTGGACACTAAGGTTTAGCTTAAAACAAGACAAAGGTTTTGCTAATTGATTAATTTCTTAACTACGGAAGAAAAAAAACACTGAGGTTTCTGGTCAAACAACGCAAACAATTTGAACACATCACCTTGGATTTGGGAAATTACAATGAGCAGCTAGACTGGGGAAAAAAATCCAGTATTCCAATTAACACGTCATGGCACAAATTTACAATCACACAAAGGACAAAAATAATTTCACCTGATGAGCAGCAGCATTCACGGTCCAATACAGCCTCAGTCCTCTAGAGCGACCATCCCTTTCACAGGGTCCTTCACTCTCATCTGACAAAAGAGAAAAATCACACAATAATTTTTTAATTGTTTGCTTTAGTGTCTAGTAATCACAACATTTCAAGGCAACGAAATATGTGTGTGAAATACGTAGAAGTTGAGCTGCTGCATATGAAAGAACTGCATCTTCCAAGCAGACAGAAGTAGTATAATAAAGTATGTCTGTCTGCTCCACAGCTGTCTGTGTGTGTGTCTGCAAAGGACTACAATCATAGCCTTACTTATAACAAGGTGTTTACATGGTGTTGGCTTCATCAAACTGTGGCTTGGCCTTGACCTGGTCTGTACTAAGTGTTAAATAGCAGGGAATAAGCACTTTTAAGACTGAGGTCATGGTTTTCAGCCTGAAAAGACTGGGTTTCCTGTTCTAGATTGGGATTAAGGTGTCATCTTAAGTGGAGGGGTTCAAACACCTCTTGGGCTTGTTCATGAGTGAGACAGAATGACAGGCAAATCTGGTACAGCACCAGTACAATAGCTGAGTGCTATACAGGTCTGTTGTTTTGATGACGGATGCAAAGCTACATATCTACTGGTTGATCCTGGTCAAAAGAATAATACACAAGCAGCATAAACTAGCTTGCTTTAAGGGGTGTCTGTGATCATCCTATGAGAGAGACTAAGAGAGACTACATGTAGAGGAACTCTACATCGAAAAGAGACAGTCAAGGTCTTTTCCCAATTAGAAGAAAACTGTGCAGCAGACCCAGAACACGCCAGATCGACCATGTCTCACAGCTGCCCTAAGAACGCTTCTGTATCCCCACAGAAGAATTGCAGGAGGTGATAGGGGAAAGCGAACTGTTGGTATGTGGTAGAAAACATTAAAAGATACACTGTATCAAGTTCAATTTAATCTTGCCTGGCTTACCTCATCCAGCTCCCTACGTGTCTGCTCCTCCATGCGACGTATGTCTTCCATGTTCAGTTCAATCCATTTGTCAATCCAGCAGAACAGCTGGCGGTGAAAATTAGTGAACAAACGCTTCTCTTGCTGTGAGACAACAGAAACAATAAAGAGATTATGGATAGTTATGGATTAGTTAAAGGAGCTGGATTTCTTAACGTAAGAGATGTGTAATTTCATCCTGTTTCCAATCTTTTACCCCGTTTATCGCGGAGAGGCTGGCAGCATACATGTGGAACATGATAGTTAGTCCCAAAAGGTTGATTCTGTTCATCTGGATGTAGAGTTTTCATTGGGAGAAACATTTCATCACTCATTCAAGCTGACTGCAGGTTTCCCTGATCTTATAAACAGTACATTTGCATAACGACTGAAACCAGCACCACTGAAGGAACAATGGGCTGTGAGGTCAGTTTCTTGATCATTAATAAGCAAATTGTAATGACCATTGATCAACAACCACAGATCAAATTCCACTGATCAATGACCATGGATCAACGGCCATAAGTACAATTCACGGAGTACCATTCCTCCCACTAAAAATGCTTCATCAAGGTGAACAGAATCAGTCTTTTGGTATTTATTTACCTGGATGAATGAGCATGCGTCAAGACATGATAGTGAGTGGTGCCTTTTTCCATTACTACCTCAAGCGGTCAGGATTTACTGCATGTGTGCAAAGGATAACACACCGTGGTGCAACAGCTATTAACAGATATTGTCAAGGAAGGAAAAAAAGGATATGTCCCGCAGGATAAACAATGTAAATGACTTTTTTATCAATAAACCCTCCTCAGTAGCAGGCCATCACCTGTAGCTTCCTGGTTGTGTCAAAATGATAATAAGGTAAAAAGCACATAAAACAAAAAACCTCTCAACAAACCTTTTGAATGAAATTCTCCACTTTATTTTGCAGGCCCCACCACTTGAATTTGACAGTGACCAGCTTGTAGGCACACATGTGTGGGCAGTCTTTCTTGTTAGGCAGTTCCTTCTGCAAGTACATAAACACATTCTTTTTTTACGTTACCAAATGTTCCTCGGGCATAACACATCTGTATGTCTGGCCCTTTGCCTCTATTCAACTAATATTTAATCAATAAAGATACACTGAGGGCTATAAATAATGTTTTAGAAATCCAGAGGTCATCACTTCTCCTGATTTTCTCCAACACCTTTTGACAATAATAAAAAGGCTCTAAAACTAAAAGTATTGATTAAAAGATCCACTATAATATATACTAACTGTAAATAAGGGCTGGCTTCTAAAACCATTCAACTGAATAAAACCACTCAGGAAAAACTGATAAAAGACAGGACCCTAGTGTCCTTAGAAGCAGCTGTGGCTACATTATATTGCTGCATATGACCAAATTTTGTTCTGCACAGATCAGGCATCACTGGCTAAACATCATAGTTGCTAAGCAACAAGTATCAGTGCAAATATATTTTGTATTTTGCACATCAGTGATTAACATTAAAGTGGTTGAAAAATGTGACTCTGCCTACTGAGATGTTTACAACAAAAAAGCTGCACCTTCCAGTCTGGTCCTAGAGGTCCTCGTCCTGTCTTCACTGACTTGAACTTGCAAGGATCTTCTTCAGGCTTGTAGTCCTGAAGAAAAATAGCAAACGCCCCCCAACAATAAACAATATGTATAAGGTGACACGTAAGTATGAAAGCTAGATGCTGTTATGGTCTCATTGATTTTAAGGTGATGTTTTCACCTTTGGTTCCACTTGGCTTCTGTCTGCAATATCAATATAGACTACATCCACTTTCTTCCAGGTTTCGGCATCCAAACCGTGTACCTGAAACAGAGACAGAGAGAACAAAACTAGATACTGTGTCTGAAGGCAAGTTTCTCCAGGCAATAAAATAGCTTTTTAATAACATAACATTTACATTTATGCATGTATAGTAGCACTGTCCCAGTAAATATGAGCACCTACAAAAGGGGGATGCAATTTGGATTTCAAATAAGAATTATGAAGCAGATTTTGATTAGGAAACCACTAAACAACAGAAAACACAACCACAAGGAGAGGAAAATAGACTATAAACCTCACCATCGATAAATTAAACATTTTGTAAAAAAAAACCCCAACCACATTTGTGCCATCTGCATTGTTTCCACTCAAAATATGGACATTCAACTTGCTGCATGTAGCACCAAAGGTCATTATTGCCATTAATAATTACATTTTCAAGGTGTCCCATGTCAGGTTTGTGCCATGTCTCAATCTTGATCAAGAAGTTATCTTTCATATACTCATTCTGCAGAGAAAACACAAGTAAAATTGAGTGAAACAGGAAGAGTAAGCAAAGGATCTTAAAATATCACCTAACTCCTGTTCTCATACACACACACACACACCAGCGCATACAGCTGTGTATCCAGGACTTAAGAGGACATTACATTAACTTACTGTAACCCTAATCACCTTAATCATAATTAAACATTTCTAAACTTAACCTTAACAAAAATGTCCTCATCAAAGTTTTTAATGATTTCTGTAATAGGGAGCCCCCCGCCCCAATAGAAGAACACATCTCCATATTGTGTGAACAGATTTAGGTCCCCATAGCTTGAGTAATACATGAAGCACACACAAAGTAATGGTGTCTGACTACGCCTGCTGCTTCGCCACTGAAATAGATCACATGTCTTTCTCAACTTTCAGGTTAACTCGCTCTCTCTCTCTCAGCATCAAGGTTTGAGGTGTCTTTTGTGTCAACGCACACGATTTCCAAAGTAAACACGCATACTTACAGTGATGACTGCAGAGCCCGATGGCAGACAGCGCAGGAGCAGACAGAGAGAAACACAAGAATAGTTGAGTTGAGGAACATTTGAAAACACCACGAAACACTACCAATACGCATTAACAGTATTGGACAATGTACAGATGTCACGAGGAATTGTTAAACACCAGTTGTCAGTGTGTGTGTGTGTAGGTACAGGTTGTGCCTTTGCCTGTTCTGTGTGTTTGTGTGACAGATGGCTGTCTGGCAACTGGCAGGCTGTGTGTGATCTCAGCCTGAAAGGCTCGAGTGATTGCACGGCTCTTCTCTCTGGGCATACAGTAAATTATTCAGCTACTCTTTCAAGGTGACAAAGACCCAGAGACACACAGTTAGCAAGAGTGTGCGGTTGAATGTGTACCGCCATTATTTAAATCAGTTATCTTAAACCCCTATTAAACAAAAACAAAAGGTATATTTCTTTCACAAATAAAATCCACTGAGCGAGGCATCCCTGAGCTACAAAAACACGTGATTCTGATAAATGTCACAAATCAAATCTGTATTTTATGTGATGAATATTACCAAAAACACACGTGTTTGCACAGAGATTAAGCGTTTTGTGTGCTGGTATAAAGTGTCTCTGCGTGTATGTGTGTCGCACCTGTGCGACAGTATGGGTACGCGTTCCAGGCTTTCTCGTGGATATTGAGAGCTGAAGCTGGAGCCAACATTCTGACGAATGATGGCACTTTACTGCAGGGCAGAGGAGTGAAGAGAAAACAAGCCTAGTTAATTTTAAAGCATTTTTATTTCAGTTATTTAACTTCATTATAAGTTCTCATATTGGAGGTCTTAAGCATCACAGCAAAACCTTCCTTTACCTGACCAAGTCCTTTATATTAAGCTTTAGATTTAGCTTTGCAATATAAACATGAATAGCTATAATACATATGAATGCCCACTATAAAGATCTAAAGCAACAAAAGCACTAAAACCTTGATAGGCAGAAACTACATGTGGTTGCTTCTGGTAGCTTACTTACATGCATCAGTGTGCTATCAGCATATTTAGATCTTTGTAGGTTAACAAACAGTCCAGAACCCTAACCTTACTATCAGGTTTTCCTAAAAGCTTCTTGGAAAGCCTTCAGCTGATCCAAAACACTGCAGTGACAGTGCTAACATGGACTGGAATGAGAGATCAAATTTCTCCTTCTAAACAAACTAAGTTCCGAATGATCATGCCAAATGTTAAAGACCTCATAGTAAAACATTATCCCAGTAAAGCATCCCACTGTCAGAGTGCAGGCTTACTATGGTAGAATAAGAAGCAGAGCCTTCAGCTATCAGGCTTCTCTCCTGTGAAACCAGCTCCCACTTGGGATTCACGAGAAATATTCTCTGGGGTGGGAAGTGCTAAGTGTTGCTATAATTTACTGATTATGTCTCCACTGCCCAAGTGTTTATTTGCCAGTTTGCATGCTATGCTGTGTTACTATTTTATGCACTCTCTTTCCCCTCCAATCGATCCCTAAGTCTGGTTCTGCCAGACAGCTCTTCCTTCTAAAAGGGAATTTTTCCTCTCCACTGTCACCAAGAGTTTGCTCATAGGGGATCATCAGATTATTAGGGCTCTTGATGGTGTCCTTGTTGTTAACTGCTGCTTTATATAATGAAGCTGAAGTAAATATAATTAAGACTTTGAAGTAACGGGATAATAGACGTACAAATATATGAAATAGAAAAATGAATGAATCGGATGCAAGATTCTTCTTCTGCATCGTCTGACACTGCAAACCTGTTGTACAAATACTTACCTCTGCAAATGGTATATTTTGTGTGTGTACTGTCCCTTCTCTCCATCTTTCTCATAGGGTTCATTTTTTAGCACCTCCACTCCTTCTCCTCCACCCGTCTCATTCTTACTGGCCTCAGCCACAGAGTACAGCTGGCCAACCTGGTACTGGAAAAAACAAAAATATATAAAAATAGTTGGATTGATGTTAAAAACATGGCTTAAAGGGACAAATAAAAAGCTACTTCCTCTCAAGTCTACCTTAAAAGAACACATGCTAAAGTTACAATGTATTATTACCCAGATGAGAGCGCTTTCGCAGTGAAACACAGGTATATTTTTTCATGTGCATTTCATCTTTTTCTTTGGCTCTTTTCCTTGATTGCTCCATATTCCTCTCCTTCTTCCTGAATTCTCATAATCTCCCATATACTTATGCTTGCTCTCCACATTTTATTTTCATCCTGTCTACTTTTATGTCGCACCCGACTGTTTTTCTCTTTCACGACTTCTCAGTCTCACGCCTCTGTCTTCATCTCACCCCCCTCTCCCTGATCCCAAGTATGCATGTGATTGTTTAAGCACAGGACAATGGCTCTTTCATTTCTTAATCACCTCTAATCCACATATAACCTCTGCACAAAGCTGGACCAGAACGCAGACACGCTTACAACATCGCAACGATGGGACAAGTTGATTTATTATGTATTCTGACCTTTTAACAGGAGACATATAAAAGTTATTCTTTGTATTCAGACGTTGCCAGGTATGACTTCCTGCACTTCTGTGTCATTCACTAAAATCAAATGATGAAAACGCTGATTATGTGTTTACACACGATGCAAGTTTCTCTTGCGGTCAGCAAAACCTGGCAAGCAGGAAACAAAGAGGATTTGACAATCTTCGGTAATCTCAACAAAAACTCATGCTTAGGCTGAAGAAACATGCTGCGCCTGCCACGGCACGTTTGTATACATATACATACATTTATAGGGCACAGAAATAACTAAGCTTGACAAAACATCTCACGATGGAGTCAAGTGGTAATCTAATGCTCTCCTGTCCCTCCATGAATTGACTTTTTAACATTAAAACATTGCACTTTATATTACATTTTTATGTAGTCAACAACTTTCAGTTTTCTCCCTTATCAAATGATTTGTCTGTCTTCGGTACATTTTGTAGCTCAAAGATGAGCCTTCTCTGAAATTTGGTGTTGGTAGTCCAGTGAGAGGCCTTAGGCAAGTCATGACTTAGGTAGTAATTTTAGATACCTCGTATAATTAGAGCAGGAGCTATGAAATGAATGGGGATGGTGAATGGAAGCCAAATGTTTAAAGATAAGTTTGGTTCATCTCGCAGCACTAGTTCTGCTGAGTGTAACAAGACCAGTATGTGGGGGTGGATTCATCTTTAGGTACCCACAGATCACTCTGTTCAGTGCAAAAACATAGTGATGAGTTGTGACTGCCAGATGTTTTAGATTTCAGAAAGTTGGTTTTGTTCATCTGGAAAAAAAGGATTACTCTGCAACAGCAGCCGCAATTAAAAAAAAGATGAAATGAGCCACAGAGGTTTAATTGACCTTCTTGAAATATGCAGACTATTACATTTTCTAAATAAGCAGTGAGTGTGACCATGATTGCTTCTTAGAGTTTATTCAATGACTAGACACATCTGCTGAGAAAAAAACAAACAAACCAAAAAAACTGGAAAGCCAAATGGACACTGGAGACGGTTCCCTCTGAACAGGCATGGATACTGTAGCTACCCACTGAAAAAACGGGATGCAGGAACAGCAAAGCCTCCTGGGTAACAGCGTTGGACAATTATAACTCGACCTTGCCTTGTGGTATCAGTCTTTGTCCAGTTACGCCAGAACTTTCTACTTTTCATGCAAATAAAGTACTGATAAGCTTTATCTTAAACGGTGGCCCTTGGCAAGAAGTTAGCAGACAGGAAATTCAATTTCAGCAAAACTCTTCAGGGAGGTTTTACCACCACCAGGCTCTGACAGTCAGTACAGTCTCACTGGAAAAAAAAAAACACTGTTTCACTCAGTGAAATGGCAAATAACTGAAGACTGCTGTTTCAGAGAGTCTGAATTTAGAGAAGGAAACAGACATGCTCGAGGGATGTGATTCAGTTGGTTAACTGTCTTTAGGATTAGGTTTGTCACATTTAACTCAAATATTTCCTTTTCAGTACTTTTTCAGCATCTGTTTGTGACACAGTGTCCACTTCTTGTGCTTTAGAGGAAATCTGCCTGATTATTAAGAGATATAATTGGAGATAATAAGATAATGTCTACAAACAGACACAGTTAAGAGAAGAAACATTTAAATCTGAAAACGCCTTCGGAGGAAATCAGCATTACTTATTTCTCATTCCACTGCTTCGTGGTTTTGATTTTAAACGAAAATATGAAACAGTATGATTTGGTCAAGTCTCCGATTTGAATTCTTGAATTCCTGTGACTGATCTGGCGTTTATGTGGCACACTGCAGCGTCTGAGCACGCACTGGTGCTTCACACCGATGCTTTAAGCTACAGTAAGATTAAGTGATTTAAATGTATTTAAATATTTTGTAATAAATGCGCAGTATTAGTCATAGGTCTCTAGCAAAAGTAGATTAGACTGCTTTAATTTTCCAAAAATATAAAGGCAGAGGAAAAAGGAGGTGGGGGGTAAGCGTGATGTCATGGAAGCAGTTTCAGGTGACTCATTTACAATGCAGGCCTGAATAGACAGGCAGACTGCAATGGAAGTGATGACAAGACACGACAGATGGACGCAGACACAGAGTGTAAGGACAGTGAAATACTGTGTGGATTCAATGGTCTATCTAAGATAAGAGATTCTCTTAAGCTGGATTTTCCTATGCAGGCTGGATGTGTGTGGATATATGAAAAATGTGTTAGAACATGTGGGCATCAAAAATGTAAACACACAAAACAATCCAAAGAAGAGGAGCTTTACTGATACAGCTTCTGAGGAAACAGAGCTAAAAAAAAAAATCAGATAACATAGGCTGAGCCTTGAGCAAATCTCGCTAACACACAGAGACACTTACACACATTGAAATATACTGAGATAGCACTTACCTCTTCCACGGAAATAGGAAGAATCACTCGACTGGAAAAGAGGGAAGAATACGTGAAATTACTCAAAATGTTACACTAAAACTCCTGAACTCGTGCTTGTAATGTATACTGAACAATGGGCAGACATGCAGCACAGTTCCATTCACACCAAATATGATGAACAAAAAAAGACATGAAAATCCAGATGATTCTGTTTAAACTGTTTAAGATGCTTCTTTTAATGCGCTAAAAACTCAAAATGTTTTTGGTTGTGATGTAACAGTTGAAGCTTAAGTCTCCAACATGCCCCTGACAGACTCAGGGGCATGTTGGAGACTTGGGCTCATTCTTTTAAAAGTGAGTTCTTCCTCCCCACTGTCACCACAGGTTTCCTCATAGGGTTTTCTCATAGGAAACGGACAATTTTGCTATTGTGAAGTCAGATCTTTTGCTGTTTTCATGCTACAATGGAACAATTCAAGTTTCTCAGAATCTCTATGTTGAGTGTTTTTTAACTGCCCTTGTAAAGCACACTGAACTTGTCTGAGTACAAATCCCCAGAAAGGTGTTTTCTTATGCCTTTGGCGGGAAATGAACTTCCTCTGTGAAAATGTCAAGCTGACAACATGAGAAGCCATGTTTAACTATTCAACTTAATATTTACTGGAATACCAATTTTTCTCATATACACACCCTTTTTGCTGTGCCGTGTGAGCAAAGGATAATAGTCTTTATCTGGATGTGCAGTACTGAACTATACAAAGTATGTGACAGCAGCTAAACTTCAATTCATCGTATAACACAAGTTGTTCAGAAGTTATTCTTTAAGATGAAGTAAATGACAAATCTAACAAATCTATCCTTGTGTGGATGGATATGAGACATTTGGAAAAAAATAAAATATTAAAAGTCCCATTTAGTATAAATTTAATGTATTTAAATGTGACCCTCGTATCACTGAACCATTAAAAAAAAGAAGGCATGATCTTTTTGCTGTTGCTTAGTTACAAATAAATCCCCGAATGTTTATATGGGCTATGTGAACGAAAACAGTCAAATTCACTTGAATTCACATAAACAGACATCAGATTTCTCTCATACAAGCAGCATTTGTTGGTTCATCTGCTGTTTTTGTTTTGCCTTTTCCAATAACTGCTGTGTCTAATTTTTTTCTGTTGTATCACTGTGTTTTAAAACAAGCACTGGGGAAATGCAGAAGCCCAACACACGGCCACATACACACATCACCAACAAACTTGTCCTGCAAAATCTGCATTTCACTCATATTGATAAAATGACACATTAAAAAATAATGATAAGACATCCAACTAGGAGTGCTGAGATAGCATGTTGCAATATACAAGCTACAATAATATTTGTATACATACAAATATTATACTGAAAAATCTACTATTTTTATCATAGTAATCTATTAATGAGTTCATAGTTTTATGCTAATTTATTAATCAACATGTAACTTTGCACTGTTGTTTTGATTAAATAACCCCATTCTTGGATTTTATATTGATTTTTTTTTTAAAAAGATTGCATACAATGAAGAATAATGAATAAAGTCACAATTAGAGAACTCTGGCACATTGATGTGTATGGAAAAATAAAACTTTACAGTCCATCAACGCTAACAGTTACACAGATGCCCACACACATTCAGAATTCAACATCTTAGCAAAAACTCATTTTGCACAAACATGCAAGCACACACACACACAACATCTGGGCTCTGTTACATTGCACACAATAAAGCAGCAGCTTAAACATGCTGCACCGCCACAGAATGCACATGTACAGTATGCAGCTTTGTTGATTGTTCTGCGAGTGTGTGAGGTATGCCCAAATTCACTTAATCCTACATCCCATTCGCCACTGAGTGTAATCTGGCTCTGAGTCCCAGCCAAACACTGACCGGTAGACCAGATGCTGCAAAGAAGGCAGGGACTGGCCCTAATGTCAAATGACATACATTTGAGATTTGAATTTACCAATATAAGTTCTGTTTTTGTTTACAAGGGTTGCAGTTACATTGTTTTGTTTTTTTCTGATGCATTAAAATTATTACTGCTCATCTCTTTTTAAATGGTGAAAGAAATATCTGCAAATATTAAAATTTAACCGTCGGTGTAAAAAACAGAAAATGTAGTAGTCATAATGCTTCTTCTACACTCACTGACCATTTTGTTAGATACACCTTTTCAGCTGTTTGTTAATGCAAATATCTCATCACCCAGGCACAGGGCGATTACTCGATGCATTTAAGCACGTGGACGCATTTAAGGCGATCTGTTGAAGATCAAATTAAAAGGTAAAGAAGTAAGTTAGAATGTGGCGTTGTTGTTAGTGTCAGAGGGGCTGGTCCGAGTACTTCAGAAAGTACTATATAATGGGAATTTGCCCTACTACCATCTCCTGGGGTTTACAGAGAGTAGTCCAAAAAAGAGAAAATGCAGCGAGCAGCAGTTCTCTGTGGGGGTGGGGGGTGGGGGTGGGGGGGTAGTAATGCCAGAGGTCAAAGGAATATGGCCAGACTGCTTTGAGCTGATGGGAAGGCAACACTAACTCAAATAACCATTTGTTATTTGTCTCTCATGTCTAATACTAAAGGGCTACAGCTGCTCAAATTAAGAAAAATTCACACAGGCTAATCAAAATTGGACAATATAAGCTTGTAAAAATGTTGCCTGGTCTAATGAATCTTAATTTCTGCTGCAACATTTGGATGGGATGGTCAGAATTTGGCGTAAACAAAATGATAGCATGGATCCATCCATCTAATGCTTCAAACGAGTGGTGTAATGTTGTGAGGGATGTTTCATTAGCACATTTGAATACAATCTGAACATTATTCAAACACCACAGCCAACCTGACCATCTGACAAATCTCCAGCAACTCTATGATGCTATTACAGGCTGGACTCACCAGACATCCCATAGTACAATATTGTCATAATACTTCACTTGCAACAAGATATAACTGTGATTTTTAACATTTTGCGATACGCTGAGTATCCCAATAACATATGCCATGATTTGTCACCTTTTTAGATGTAAATTATGTCCTCAAAGTTAAACCTTGTCAACATTTGTTTTATCCAGTAAGATAAGCTTATCTCTCTTCAGTTATGTTTTTCTGCAAAATGAGACTGTCAAGCACATCAACGCTGTCACTAAAACCGACCATAAGATGGAGTCAGTCTGCTACCAGTCAAAGATTGAATGGAGACAAGTTGGCAACTAAATTCAATTTGATTCTGACAATACAGCAATTAGGTGTGATAAATAATAGAAGGTCACATATCTGTTGATATTTATATTTAAAAATTCACATTTAACTCACTCTCTTTGCTCTCAGCAGCCTTCATCTACAGAACAATAACCAGAATACAACCAGCTGATATCCAGTTGAGTCGAGTCCCCTCAAGTTATACTCACTGACATTCAGACTGATGGCAACATGCTGGAAATCTGTCTGCATTTATAATTTAGAAAGCAACTATTTGCATACCTTCAGCAATCTCTCTGAGAGTGGTTGCAGTTAATCTACTGTAAATTAGACCGTAACTGTTTGTGGAAAAGCTGCCTCCAATTAGGCAACCTCTGCAATCTCTTTGCAATCAGTAGTGATCATGAGTGCAACACTTTACACACCTGGATAACCATTTAGTTATTACAAGCTGCAATTGGTCACAAGATGTTTAAAAATTCAATACAATCACCAAACAGCCATTAATTTTTGTCGTAGACACAAAGAGATTACTGTCTTATATTTACTTGTGTGACTGAGCCTTTAGCTTGCTCTGAATTAGGAGTTTCCAGTGTTGGATGGTTTTTTGGTTGAGTGGGTTTAATGCAAGTTTGCTTGTTATGTTATGTTTCTGTATTTGGTGACTGTTGTAACGTATTAAAATATAAATATTTGGTGTCCCTGTACTCTAATGTATCAATTTTCCCTAGATGCTAGCTTGTCCATTTGGACCAAATATCTGAGAAAATTTTCTAGCACCTTGATCTAACAGCAAAAAGGGAGTCCAGCCTGGTACTAGCAATGTGTACCTAACAAAATGGCCGGTGACTGTATATTTCTCTTACTCTCTGTAAGTCTCCTTGGTCTAATGGTCTTGACAGGAAGATCAGGTGTCACTTTGTTGCTTTAGAAAACAAACACCCATCCTGCATTGCTCGTCTTTTCTTCTTTTCCTCTTTATCTATTTTCCCTCCGTCTTCCTCTTTTTCCTGCTTCTATTCCTTTGATCAAATCAGGTTTTTATTAAAAAAAAAAAATCAGGTTTTTAAAATCTAAAGCAGGTGCTACATGCATGTGCACCTGCCAAAGTGCTTAAGCTGAAGAAAAGTGGATCATGAGTGATGTAGGTCAGTGGTTCAGGTGAGGAGCACTACAGAAACTGGACATGTTCTTTTTCTCCTGACCCTCATGATGGTATCTTGGCGTGCGTAACTCTGTGTGTGGATGTGCGTGTACAAGCATCTTTGAGTGTTGACAGTGCGTAAATACATTTAGAATTTAATCGTGACTGATTTAATTAATTTCCAGGCTGGCTGTTGAGGCCCAGAGTCTCCCTAATCACTTCAGATCTTTAGGATGCCATCACTCTGATCCTGTGCTTTTTGTGCTGGGCCATTTATTGATTAAATGTAGAGGATGTGATGGCAAATCAAGACAATAACCAGTGACAGAGAGACTCTGATCAGAATTTTTTTTTTTAGATATTTCTGCCACACAGTTCAGGTCTGACCTTGCCACAAAATTGCAACAAACATGCTTATAATAAAAAATGTGAAAAAAGCCCAAATGTATTTGGATTTTTTTTTTTTTTTAAAGGCGATGCATATCATTGAAACTACTAAAACACAGAACACCTAAAGGAAGCACACATCGTTCTTTTTTGTGTCTTTTTTTTAAACAGGTGAACATCAGCTTCCTGGAACAAAAAACCTAATATACACACTGCACACTGACACCAGCAAAGAAATAAAGGAACAACATTCTGTCTGTGTGACAATGATGATTAAAACGTGCAGGATTTTCTCCATTTGAAGGACAATATCAGCCCAGTTCATCTGCCATTCATCGGCCTTGCCCTTATTTTAACCACCAGCTAAGAGTGAGCAGGCCTCAGTCAGTTACACAGAGGCCCGCAAAAACGCATTCAAACAATTTGTCAATTTAATTTTTTGCCCCCATTTCAAGCCACAAAACCACACTGTGTGCCATTGCATCCTTTCGGCCCAGCAGCCAAATTCTCTAACATCCAACTGGTGCATTAAAACCTCGCCATTTGCCCTTTTCTCCCCCAAGCTTTGCGCCCACCTCCTCTACCTGCCCACTCCCACCGCTCCTGCTCCTTAATCAACCATCCACCCTGGGTCATTCTCCATCTCACTGTCTCCATTCCTCTAGATGCAAATGCTGGAATGCTTCATCGGTCGTTTCACCTTCACCGCGCATCAATAACATGGCCACAGCGGCTAACAGGGATGGACGCTGGCACGACGCGGCTTACGCCAGCCATTTGTCCCTCAGCTCCTCTCGAGCATCCGTCATTTTAGCACTACAGCGGAGGGAATTACTCTGTTCGCCACCACAGTGAAAGCCTCCCGGTTTCAGCTGATGGCTTGTGATGCAGGATGTGAAGGGCACAGCCACGCCGGCTGCTGATGCAACTACAGCTGCCGCTAAATTTCCCTCTCAGTTTATTCCGCGAATACTTCAGGGTGGCGAGAGTGTTGCATGCATGAAAAATGATCACGGACACCGAGCAGGTGCGGGGTTTCGACATCACCCTGGCCGCGCTATTGCAATTTCCCGGTCGGGCGACTGGCCACAATGTCAGCGGTGCGAAAGGAGACGGGGGAGACAGGCAAACGTGCACACGTTACCTTTTCGAACACTCTCTCACTTGCACACACACCTACTTACTATTCCTTTATAAGCATTTTTTGTGTGCAGTATATCCCGGGATAACAGCCCAATACAGGTCCAGAAAGCAGGTCGATTCTTCCCTCTGTTAGTCGCTTCTTTTTCCGCTTGCTTCTCTTCCACCTCCCGCTCCCTATGTCATTCTACCTCCACAGTCGCTTATTTTCTTCAAATTCACTTCCTGATCGGGGCCGCGGAGCGGCGTTGCTGTTACGCGCAGAGCACCGAGGCCTGTGCAGAGAACACAACACACAGAAAGCGATGGTTCGTCATGGGAGTGGTCTGCGGTGGTGCCACAGAGCCACAACTCCACAGAACACATCTCACAGACACCAACATATTATAGGGTAGTGTTTGAAACAAAAAAACACAAAAGTAAGTCAACCCTCAGGAAACCAGCTGCACGGTCATTTAAGCGGTCTAAAAGCCATAAAACATCGCTCATTAAACGTTTAGAGACTTTTTCAACAAATATTATTAACAAACATCACGCGGGACCCATGCCAAGTTTATTCACACAAACCAGTAAATCATCGCTGACCTCTGAGTAGGGTTTTGACTGGTGTCCCCAGAAGACAACATGCCCCACCCCTCACACCTGTCTTTATTCGGCTCTCCTCCCTGTCCTGTAAGTGCGCACTGCACAAACAGCGGAAATTCACCAGGTGCGAGTCGTTACGTATGTGTGAGTAAAATAACACATATTCGACTTTATTGGGTGGAAATGTGTTTTGTGCTAGCAACCAAGGCAGCAGACCCCAAAGCAGTTAAAAAAAAAACCCTCATGTTGGCATTCGGGCAAAATGAGGTTCCCTGAACCGTTTTTCTAAAGGGTGTGCAACACTCTGCGTCATCGCTGTCACGATGACGTAGAAGCGTAGTTATTCACCATCATCAGAGTATGACACGGAGATCACCGCTGGCACAGACGCACGGTGCGTCAGCTCTAAACCCTTTCCAACAGAGTCCTTGCATCTGATGTGATTATCCTCTTCCACACCCACTCGATGACAACTCACATGAATTACAGGCTGATCTGTAATTCACTCAAGGACCCCGGAGGCGTTCGGACCACACGTTTCAAGCAAGGTATTACAGATCCCTAATCCATGCAGTCCCTCATCCCGAAGACCGGGATGTGATTGCGAATGTGTGAGTCTAAAATTATGTAACGATGGAGTCTGTATTTATGGCGCATCTGTAACAGTCTGCCAGCATCCACTCATTCCTGTGTCATCTTGGGATTGCCTTTACCTCCTGTAATATCTATCTATCTATCTATCTATCTATCTATCTATCTATCTATCTATCTATCTATCTATCTATCTATCTATCTATCTATCTATCTATCTATCTATCTA